AATTGGTGAAGTGCTCAGTAATGATGAGGACAGGTCAATTATTCAGACTGATCTGGGTGATTTGCTAAATTAGGCTCATTTGAACAACATAGTGATAGAAATGTAGCCGTGTTAGTCTGGGGTAGTTGAAGCAAAATGCAGGACAATGTAGCACTTTAAAGACTAACAAGATGGTTTATTAGATGATGAGCTTTCGTGGGCCAGACCCACTTCCTCAGATCAAATAGTGGAAGAAAGGAGGAAGTGGGTCTGGCCCACGAAATCTCATCATCTAATAAACCATCTTGTTAGTCTTTAAAGTGCTACATTGTCCTGCATTTTGCTTGAACAACATATGTTCAACTACTTCCAAGATGAGGGACAGTACCAAGAATACAGTCTTACTGAAAGGGACATGGATGTTACGGTGTCATAATCAGCTGAACATGCGCTCCTAGGCTGTGTCTAGACTACATGCCTCTGTCGGCAGAGGCATGTAGATTAGGGTTGTAGGCAAAGGTAAATGAAGCCGTGATTTAAATGATCGCGGCTTCATTTATATTTACATGGCTGCCGCGCTGAGCCGACAAACAGCTGATGAGCTGTTTGTCAGCTCAGCGCACTAGTCTGGACGCTCCCCTGTCGAAATGAAAGCCTTTTATCGACATCCCCGGTAAACCTCATCCTACGAGGCATAAAAGGCTTTCAGGTCGGCGCGGGAGCCGACAAACAGCTGATCAGCTGTTTGTCGGCTCAGCGCGGCAGCCATGTAAATGTAAATGAAGCCGCGATCATATAAATCGTGGCTTCATTTACCTTTGCCAAACAAACAAATCTACATGCCTCTGCTGACAGAGGCATGTAGTGTAGACGTACCCCTAGTGTAACAATATGATCCTTGCCCCTGCATTTACAGCCATCCTGGATAGCATGGTGGTACTACCTTAGGGTATGTGTACACAGCAAAGCTAAAGTTGAATTAAGCTATGTTGATTTGACTTTTGGTGCCATCTACACAGCAGGAATTCAAAGGAAGAACACTTTTCCTTCAGCTTCCTTTACTCCTTGTGAAATGAAGGTTATAGAAGTCAGAGTAAGAAGTTCTTCAGCTCACTATTATTCTGAAATAATGGCTTGTAGTGTAGACGCACTCTTTGTTATAATGCTGCTGTATAGACATACCCTTAGTGAGACTATTACAGGAATGCTGTATCCAATTCTAGTGTCCATGGTTCACACAGGCTATTGGAAAAAATTAGGAAAGGATTCAGAAAAGAACTACAGGTTGAACCTTTCTTATTCGGTACCCTTGAGATCTGACCGGTGCTGAACCAGAGAATTTGCCAACCCATGGGAGGTTAATATTATCTAGCAGCATTACAACACTTCCACTGTTTACTGGGCTCTTTGAAGACATTTAGGGGTAAGTTAGAGCTAAATAACAGCACAGAATACTGACAGCCAGGACTGGTGGCTAAAAACAAACTTTATGGGACCACAGGAAACGTGGCCATGCCCATGATAAGTGGACATCCAGCTAACTAAAATCATGCCAGACCACTGATGTTGCCAGACCAGAGAACAAGAATGATTTGAGATCTGGAAAATCTGCCTTAGAGAGAAATAAAAAGCTCAGTTCATTCAGTTAACCAAGAGAAGGCAAAGATGTTTGGATTATGATTAGGTGTATCTGCACAGGAAAAATATTTATGATAGTAAATAGTTCTTTGATCTAGCAGGGAAACACATAACAGGATCCAAAAGTTAATGAAGCCAGCAAATTCAGATTAGGAATAAGGAACACATTTTATTAGAATAATTAACCATCAGGACAAACTACCTAGGAACATGACAGAAAATCTGTCAAGTTATTAAAATGAAAACTGGCTATATTTCTAAAAGATGCTATAGCTCAAAAGAAGTTATGAGGTTGATCAGGGGAGTAGACAGCCTGTGTGGGCTGGTGGGCAAGGGGGAAGGGAGAACCGGCTCCACATTCCAGAAGGGGTGGGGTTTCCAGTAGAAGCGGCAGAGTCAGCGGTAGAAGCCCTTCACGTTGCCTGGAGCACAGCACTCTTCTCTCCCCACCCCCAGCACTCAGAGCCGCATGCAACACTGCACTCTGGCAGCATTTGAAATGGCCCAGGACTCCACCTGCCATTGCTGCTGCGCACCATGCCCCTTTGAATCACTGGGCCGCAGGGCAACTTCTCCCTTTTCCCCACTGTCTTAGGCTGGCCATAGGTTGGTGCAGAATTATTGGGTAATATTCTATGGCCTGTGCTAAACAGGAAGATGCACTCTAGATGACCACAATGGTCCTGTCCAGCCTTAAAATCTAGGAATCTACAAATGGAGTTTAAAAAATAATCATGAAGAACACACAGACTGAGACTGCATACTACGTGCAAGAATGTTAAGTAAGATGGGAAGGCAGTGACTGTTACTTCCCCAAAAAAGTGTTGAAATAATTTCTGTAAATAAGCTGAACCACAGAACTAAGAAGATGAAATAACTTGTTTAAAAAAAGCCAATACTAGATTTGTGACTTGAAAGCCAGCGAGCAAAAGACTCCACTAAGAGTTAAAAAATTATTTTACTCAGCCCAGAGAGCAGTGACTGCCAGCCTCTTCCAGTAGCCCAGCTGGGATTGTGCATGCCTCCCCTACAGCGGTGCCTCAGCCAGCCCCTTTAAAATGCCTGTCTGTCTCCTGCAGAGTGGAGCTGGCTCTTACCAGAGCTGCGCACTGTGCCCATCCACTTATTTTCACCTCTGAGCAGACACTGCTGGTGTGTGTGTTGTTATCATTACTGTCCACGTGTATTCCTGTGCAGTTTTGTGTTTCCCCAAGCTTTGATTGTATGACTGGCTAGCTTCCTCTGGGGTAGGAAAGAGCTGACTGCACACATCTGTGGATGCCAAGTCATCTTTTGGCTTTGGATCCCTGTCCCCCTCAATACTCTGATCCATGATATACTCTTCCTGGCTCTGCCCACTCTCGGCTGGCACAGCCCCACAAGTATCTATAGAAGAAATCCCGGAGTGGAGGTGGGAGTCACCTCCACTTATTGGGACCAAGTCTTTGTAGAACCACTAGGCTATGGGCACAGCACTGGAGAAGTAGTTTGCCTCCTGTGCTTTGGGGTAGGCATTTCACAGCTTCTTCACTTTGATCCTGAACTGCAGTGTGTCCTGGTCATGCCCCTTTCAATTATGCATCTTGATTTCTGCTCATAGCTGTCATAATCCCTATGACTGGAGTGCATCTGGGACTGCACAGGCTCCTTTTTCCAAATGCTCCAAGCAGGGTATCTCGGTGTGTGGAGCAGGCGTGGTCACCTGGAAAGATGCACTGAGAATCCAACATGTGTTGCCGAGCAGACAGGAAGGGGACTTTCCAAACGATCAAGGAATGTAAAGACTGGGTCTGAGGGCTGGTCACCTGGCAGCAGGGCAGTAAAGTTCAAACCAGTGACCAGAGAGGCAAGAACAGGCATTGTGGGACAGGCACTGGAGGCCAGTCACAGTTCTGTAGAACACCAAGTATCCATAGTAGCACTGTAGCCACTGTGCAGAAAGCTACCTCCAGGAGTGGCCAGAGGCCGGCTGCAGCAGCTGGCATCCTAGGCAGGGCGGTACAATCAGCACCCCTGCCTGCATGGCTGTCAATGGCCGTGACGTCATCATCGGGCGCCCGGGCCAGCGGTGCCCTAGGCAGCTGCCTAGCTCGCCTAGGCTCACGGGCCGCCCCTGGCTACCTCATTGAGGTAGTTTGCATAGAGTGCAGTATTTGCAGTGTTTGTGTGACTAGGCCCTGGTCTGCACTTGGGAGTATTATGAAATAACACCCTTTATTTCAAAATAAAAAGCAGAGCGTCCACACAACCAAACCCGTTATTTCAAAATAACTGGCAGGTTATTTTGAAATAATAACTCCTGCTTTCCATGAGGAATAATGCTTATTTCAAAATAGTGCTAGTGTAGACACAGCCACATTATCGAAGCCTGCGTTGGACTAATTTCGAGGCTTCCCTGTAGTGTGGACACAGTATTTTGAAATAGTTGTTTCAGGAGATATTATTTCAAAATAAGTTATTTCAAAATAATTTCCTAGTGTAGACTAAGGATGTTAAGGACTAGTCGACTATCCAATAAGCAAATGCTTATTGACTAGTCAGTTGACTAGTCGACTCCCTCCCTTGCTGCTTGTATCAGATAGAGGCAGGAAAGCGGGGGGAAGCGGGGTACTTCACAGCGGCAGTGCCGCACAGCTGAGCCCAGGATCAGCTGTGTGGCATTGCCCTTTTGAAATGCTGAGGTGGCGTTTCAAGGCGCCAGTGTTGGTTTCCATGCAGCATTTCCGTGGAACCTGGGATCAGCTGGGAAGTCCATGGCTAACCCCAGGTTCTGGGAAAATGCTGTGTGGAACCCACAGTCAACGGAGGAGTCCCCAGCTGATCCCGGGTTCCGCTGAAATGCGGACTCTGAGTCCCCTGCTGACTCCAGGTTCCATGTTGTGCTTCCGCTTTCAAATGCACAAGAGCCCTCATAGCTGGCCCCGGGCTGCATGCAGAGTTCCGCATTCCTCCTTTGAAATGTACAAGAGTCCCAACATTTCAAAGGAGGAATGCGGAAGTGCCTATCGACTAGTTGCCTATCGACTAGTCGATGGAAATTCCATTAACTACTCAACCAGTAAAATAACTGATAGTTAACATCCCTAGTGTAGACATGCCCTAAGTTCCATGCCAGTGTGAACACCTCAGAAGTTACAGTGCAGTAAATAAATCAGCCCCCAATGTTGTAACTTATCATTGTAGACAAGGCCTGAGTGAAATGCAACAAGTAAGCAATCAGTATTAAAGGGGAAAATAAGATGTTTAAAAAATGCTTTCAGCTCTAATAATCTATAATGTTAAGAGCCAGTTTCTTTGTGCTATTTAAAATGTTTTTAACTTGTCAGTGCCCTCTTCAAACTCACAGTACAAGAGACATTGAAAACATGTTTGTTGTCCAGCAGGCCTCTACAAATCTTGGCTTCAGTTGGGTAGATGGAGTTGAAAGTGAAGTTTCATCTGGTATAACATCTTGAATCATCTGGGTAAGAGCCAGACTTCATTTATTTTATATTCTGTGTAGCTTGGAGACAGTAGAAGAAGAATATTTGAGGTGACTGATCAGCTTCTGGCTAGTTACAACTAAGTTGTGCACTGATGGCATATCTTCTCTGCAATCATGCCTGCGAGTAGCCCATGCTGGCTGATTTGGGCTTGTACTGCTCAGATTGTGGGTCTCTAATAGTTCAGCATAGATGTTTGGCCTGTGGGCTGAAGCCTGGGCTCTGATACCCCACAAGGGGAAATGATGCCATTTTTTCCATGTAGCATGGCCTTGTACAGATGATGCCATATTTTAGAGCACATCCATTCATAAAGAAATACAAGCAGAAGGCCTCATCCCATAGCTTTGAATGCTGGAAGAGGAGAAATAAAAATATTTGACATGAAGATTGTTCATTTCTTTGGGCCTGTGAGAGTTCAAACGGCAAAGAAACCAACCGAAGCCAGAGATTCCTAGGCATTATCTTCTGGGTCCACCCTGAAAGAGCTCTTCAACTCTATTACTTTTAGGATTTTAGATGGTCACTCTTTATTGCACAGGTACTGACTTTTTTATTGCACAGGCTCCACGTCTCATTTCAGCAGAACCCGGGATCAGCTGCCAGCTGACTGTGGGTTCTGCTCGGCATTTCCCCAGAACCCAGAGTCAACTGGGGACTCCCCAGCTGATCCCGGGTTCCGTGGAAATGCTGCATGGAGCCTGGAAGCAGCTGGGGAGTCCTCAGCTGACCCTGGGCTCCATGAAGAGCTGCTGCCTTGAAACGCTGCCTTGGTGTTTGAAAAGGGCAGTGCCGCACAGCTGATCCTGGGTGGTGGTGCTGTCGCTTTGAAGTATCCCGTCTTCCCCCCCCACCCCTCTTTTGCTGCCCCTATCTGATAGAGGCAGCAAGGGAGGAGAATCGATTAGTGGACTAATTGACTGACTATCCGATAAGCATTTGCTTATCGTATCGTTGACTAGTCGACTAGTCCTTAACATCCTTAGTTTAAGGCCCTTAGCTTGCAATCCTGCAGCCACTTATGCATGTGTGTAACTTTACTCATGTAGCCACTCAAGCAAGTGGGGCTATTGTGTGACCAAAGCTATGTACGTGCTGAAATGTTTTCAGAGTGAGATGGTAAATCTTCATATTAAGTATAGATCTAGCTTTTGATCTGGAATCATGCACACTAATAATTTTAAGTTAAACCTTGGCTACATGCTTCAATTCAGGAATAGGGTCTTATTCAATATTAATGAAACTATCTCTGAAGCTCACGATAGATTGAATTTATTAGACATTGTAATAATACCACAAATCCACTTGGAGTCACTCTAACACAGCAACCAGTCCAACTATGGCATTCCATTCAAACTATTTGCTGTGCAGGACACAGAACTTTATGCTGGGGAGAAGAGGAAGAAGGAGGAAGAAGGGAGAGGGAGAGAACTGCAACCATTTCGAATGGACTAGAACTTCATCTTGTTAAATCTTCAGCCAAGACTTTCCGTGTCGTGTGACCACAAACATAAACAGAATGTTGTACAGTAAGCAAGGGTGTGGGGCAGTTACACTGGTTTTTTGGATTATGTTTGGATGGACTCATTATTAAAGTCTTCAGCGTTATCTATTTAGGACAGACATTCCATTAATTTTTTTAAAAAGTACTTGCACAACTTGTTCAGTGAAATCCCGAAATAGTGAACATTTCTAGTAAGTCAAGCTAAAGCCACCCCCCATATTTGTAGTAAAGTAAGGAGTTCCATTTGAGACTATATTCTGGCTTCAAAGGAAGATACCTCTATCTAATGAATTGATCTCATAGATGAAAGTTATCAGGGATTTAAGGAATAGGTGACTATACGCCAAACAGGTTAAAATAAAAGATTTGGTTGATTATTAGATGCTAATTTTAAAAAATACCCATGTGTGCACTGTTAACCACTGAAGCTAATCGGCCTATTCAAATGCTTATTCTTAAATGTGCACATATCTTTGCAGAATGGAGCCCATGATTAGGAGCAGGCTTCAGAAGGAAGAAAAGTAACATTTACATTCTTAATTCAAATTCATGAAAAGAACAGATTGAATATAATATAAACTGAAAATAGCTAATGGTATACTTTAACTTGGTATCCCCCCTCTCCCAATAAAGTTTAGGACTCTTCTGGTATGTGAGAAATTTCCTTTGTACAACTAAAATATTATCCATGCTAAGTAAGGTGGCAATTTTTGCAAGTCTTTTTTTTAAACAATTGTTTTTTTAAATTTTTAAAGATTCTATTCATTGGATAGAGAGGGGAAAGGCAAAATACATTTTAGATGAAGTAAACAGTACCAAAACTGTCATCTTTCAGTTTCTTAGGGGATAACACTGGTGGTTTTAATTTCAGTGTCTTATTACAGACAAGAGTCTTTCAATGTACAAGGACTGAATGTGGATTTTGGAGCCAGTGGGAGTTTTCCTCAACAAGAACTGCTTCACAGCGTAATCTTCTGTTGTTCATTCTCCTCCACCCTCATCTGCACTCCTATTTTATGTTTTGTATGTCTGTCTTATGCAACTGTGTACCGTATTCCTTCATTTCTAGCCACCAGCATCTTTTTCTCTAAGGTATTCTAATTTGAACAGTATAGTTGTTTTCAAACAACAGCATTAAAAGGAATTCCTATTTGTATCAAAATTTGGAGTTTCAAACAATGTTAAACCAATGCTGATAAGGAAGTGGCTATGGTCTGTTTCAACATGAGCTGAAAAGTGATTCCAGAAATAGCACAACAATTACTTATTAATGGTGGATATGCATATTCTGTACTATGCAGTATGGACCCAATCCTACTTTTCTTTTCCTATTAATAGTAATGAGAGTTTTTTTATTCCTGTGCAAGGCGATTGGGCTTAATTTTAAATACCAATGTTTTTGATGTATAAAATTAGTTAATATAAATAGGAAGCTAAAACATATTTCCTCTTCACTCCTTAGTCAAAATAATTCAACTGTGACTCTGATGTAAGTTAAATTCACATATTTGCTGTTAAACCCTTTCAGCATTACACTTGCTATGAAGATTAAAATTACACCATTAGTTCCTTTATGTACTGAAAATTAAATTTAAAAATACGAAATTAATGTTCTTCATAAAACTGACATCTTTTAAGCCTTACTGTTACAGTGCAAATAGGCTGAAAAGAAGCCCATAATTTTATTTTGAACACTTGTATCTTGTTACCACAACAATATAACACATACAATTACATGTTATTAACACACATGATACAAAGGATCTTACAGTATTATATAGAGTGACATTGTGCAGATTTTCACCTCATTTCTTGAATTATCATTTTTAAAAAGACTTAGCATGTCACCATATAAGGACTCAAGCCAACTCCCTTTAGCAACTGGAAAAATCTCTCATTTACTTCAACAGGAGTGTTATCAAAGCTTTAAGATAGCAACTGACAATATTGAAATCCTACCAAACATTTTTTTTCATCGCTGTATTGATTTAAAAAGGCTATAGATGAAAAGCCTAATTTGTCTTTTCTAAGTTGGATGAGTTTAACTGTTTTGTAAAATTTGTTCTTTATAATTACTTACCCTAATGGCTATTGCAAGCATTAGAGATCGTTTTTTTATCTTTTTTATCTAAAAAGGTAGTTTTTTATCTTTATTTAGTCTTCCATAGCACATAGTTTATAATCTACCTTTACAATAGAATATCATGTGTTGCAGTGTATAAATCAGTATAGTATTAGGAAGGCATCTGATGCAGTATTTATTGATTGCTAAAATTTCTGACTTAAAAAAGTCTGAGTTTGTAGTAATTGGAAGATTGGCTCTCAAATATCCTCTAGCAATAGTAATACAAATAAATTAATACAGTAGATATCGATCTCAGCTTTATAAAAAGAGGGGAAAATATCCCAGGGAAAGGAAAATAGAATCTCCCATGTAATTGGGCTACACAAATAACTGTAATGTAAGAAGAGTGTTTCTACTGTAAATATGTTAAATTGGCTCTTTTAAACATAACTAACAGATAAATGACTCAAACAGCAAATCACTTCTTAAAATTCTTGTATTAGCCTTCACAGATTTCAATAGGCAGGAGTATTTAGTGGATAATAAAAAGCAGGGTTTATGAATAAATAAATTGGTATTTGCTGCAAATATAAAGAGCTACCTATTTTAAAAATTTTATTGTCAATTAACAATTTCTTATTGAATACAATTTTCAGGGCAAGACTTCTAACAGATGGTATTAAAACCATCCTGAATGTCAATCAGTGGTGTTACACTTGTTTTTGCTTTTGCTCTTATTTCTGGGCTATCTGTAAGATTAACCCAATATTAAATTAGCTGTAACTGTGAAAACTTATGCTTATTAAGTCTCAAGGGGCATTTGCTCAGTTCCCCCTCCTGCAGACTCACTACACATTATGAAGAATGACAGAATTCCTTAGGTAACAATGCATGGCTAAAATTTTCAAAGTGGATTACTTTAATCTGAGCACTCTAAGTACATATCTAGGTTGTTTTATCAGGAAAAAATCTATGGCGAACAATGGAACTACAGTGGTTACCATCATGCAAGTGTGATCAAAATCACTCCCTCTGTTTCATCATTTGTACAATGAAAATACTAATACTCCGTAACTGGACTATCCGTAGGCATACACAGTTGCATAGGGCACCACTAATTCTGGGGCACCAACGATACTCCAAATTTTAGAGTGCCCTGTGCTGAATATGCTTAGGCCCACCACAGGTCTTAATCAGCACTGACCCCATTGGCTCTAATTGCCCCAGTTCCAATTTCCTGGCTCCCTACCCTCTGCTCAATCTCACAGCCCAGTTAGACCGAATTCCCCAGCCTCTGGTTTCCCCACCCCAGTTCTCTGCACCTGTTAGATACTGGTGTCACAACTCTCTCCCATCTCTAGTGTTCCCTGCAGGTATTCATCCCAGCACAGTTGCTGTCTCCTTGTCAACATTAGGTGACGCAGTCCCCTGGCCAAGTCACTGGTTGAGTCCATCCCCTTCTGTATGGTTGAGTCCAGTGTTCTAATTTTTTCTGTCCTTGTGTAGAATAAATTTTGTGCTGTGTGCTGAGGCACTTGTGCATTAGAAACACATGCTGCCAGCTCTTTGCATTCTGCTAATCAGCTGGTTGGCATTTGAATCTCTTCTGGGTGGTTGCCCAAGCGCTCAACTTACAAGGAACGCTGAATCCAATGTTCTCCACAAGAGAGAAGCTGGAGCCCACACCTTTGCCTCAAGGCTCACAATGTCTCTCTCCCTCCCTTAGCTCTAGTGAGGGGTTTGTGGCCTTTCATTGGAGTGGGTGTGGTAGGGGAGTCCAGGCCCTCGTCTTTCACTGGGCTCCTTTCCGGGCCCCCACAAGAGGCAGCAATATCAAATATCCAGAGAGTGCTTTGGGGCTGCCTCCCTGGGCCTCCCTACCACTTCCTGCCCTCCTCCCAGCCCAGGGCATCGTTAAAAGTCTCACAAATGATCCATAGGAAAATGAGGTGAAGGGCTTGCTAGGGCTAAGGAATGGATACTCACTCCTTTAGAGTCTGTGGTAACTGCCACTGGCAGACCTCTCCCTTGCAGCTAGGACTCCAGGACAACCCTTACTCAGGTCCTCTTGAGAAAAGTCTCCTCAATCCTGCCTGCTCACCTTCAAGTGGTTCTTTTAAGCTCCTCCTGCTGGCGCTGGTTCTGCAGGTTCAGTGGACTGGAGAGGAGCCACAACCGGGGCTAGAAGTTTCTCTTGATCCTGTCTATCGCAGTGTGGCTATATATCCCATTGCAAAAGAGGGGGTTTTTGGTGGCTATAAGAGCTCTGACACCACTCATTCTTCTGTCTCTCAGCACAATGGTCATGGTCAGAGAGAAGAGGTATGGCTGGTGCATGCTTCCATGGGAGTTATGGCTGGCACTTGACCGCTGACACAGGATAAAGCATACAGCCGTCTGCTCTAATCTCTGCACCCCATGGAGCAAGGGAGTTCAGGGTCAACGTCAAATCCCAAACTGTGCTGAGCATGCCTGAGGAGCATGCACTGGAGGATGGGAACTGAAGAGATCAATATAAATTCTAAATAGTGATGATTTTGGTACAGATGTATCAGCTATTGTTTCATAATGTGTAATATTTGAAATAAAAATGGTGGGATTTTTTCTGTTTCTAAACTGTTGCTTGTGTGCTCATTAGTATGCAAAATCCTATCATACTTTTCCACTTAAAAAGTTTTACTGTATTTTAATTGAGGCAATAAAATTAAACCTTTTTGGGCTCATAGATGGAAAATAAATCCCCACTCTGCTAATGAAATGGTGAAAAGCTTTCTTGTCTCTTAGTACAATATCACTGGGAGGGTCTGCTCACTATGCTTGCCTACCTCCTTCTCTCTGGAGGTAGGTGTCTGGCTGGGGGAAGGGAGCAGGAGCGGGGGG